CGAAAAAAACGGCGGTGCTCAGAGAGAGAAAAGGTTCAAACAGTTGATAAGTTGACCACCTACGAGGAAGCGACCAAGCCGTCACCTGCTAACCTGGGAGTCGAAATATGGATAACAAAAGACCAGCATATCACATGGCAACGAAAGGTAAGCGAGAATCTGCTATCGGTAAAGAATCTTTCATTCATCAAGGCAATGAATAACTCTATGATCAGTGCACATTACAAAGCCTTAAGAAGCCTACGGTTTCGCAACCAGCTAAAAATAACAACAAAAAACAGCGTTACGTAGAAGTAACAGTCAAAAACTACAATAGCAAACTATCCATCAGTCATGCAAAATTGGCCTGCAGTTCGTCTAACGGGAAAAGAGTATAATGACGATGACATCATACCGTCTAATGACTAAAGCGTGGGCTACCGCGTGCGTAATATCTATAAATCTTGGTAAGCCAACAAAACAGTCATGTTTTTTTTACTTACATATAGTGCTACTCCATTGGATATCCCAGAAAGAGCAAATGGTTCAAAATGGGATCTAAATCAACGATCCTGGCGCTCAACAGTGAGAAATACTACGCATGAAATCTTTAAGCATTTCTGCGATATTCTCAAAAGCAGGACACGACAGCTCAACATTTAGGACGGAACGACGCCAATATGCTAATTCTGACATTAATCACTAATGAAATTGGCTTAAAGAGTTGGTAAAATCTTTATTAGGAGATGAGGAACTTTGGAACCACAGTGTTCTTAATTTTCAATGTATAATAATAGACGAGAAACAAGGAAACGATGTTGTTATATGAGTGAAATTTGATCTGGGAGAAACCATGCCTTATTTGATATATTCTAACGTACGAACAGCTTATGATGTTTATATGCGGTGGCATATAACGAGTACCAACCCGTGAAAAGTCGTTCGCGGTTTGCGAGTGGTGGTTAGAACAAAAAGCTTATGCGACATGCGCCTGACAACGCAGGTGTACAAATACCATTGAATCAGGATCTACTTCAACGGTCGCGCTAAGCATTTAGCAATAGGGGGCTATGCTATATGCCGTGAAATTTGTCTGTCGAAGAGTCGCGTATCATCTAACGCACAGTAATCATGTATTGCCACTTTTGCCACTGATTAACGATTCGCTTTTTCCAGTAGGCTACCGGTTACTCTCGTCAGAATAGCACAGACATTGGTTTAAAACAGCAACAGATGGCTAACGGCTAATTATTACTTATTATACAACATTCCCATAGGACTATGACCATACTACCACCACAGCATTCAAGGATTCGAACTGCACAAATTCGTCCTTTACAATGCCTAAAGACTATCTTATGACAACAGAAAAACGACCCGCCCCTTTGAAAAAAAGCCTCTAGTGACACCGTTTTCTTGCAGTCAGAAGGCGGTTTGTTAAAGGATAGAAGACAAAACTTCGATTAAATAAACCGAACACAACTGAGGGACCCGTTTGTAAAAAATTTTCCGGGCCACGGTCAGTCCTACCACAAGGTGGCAAAACTTCAGGCGATATGAAAACACAAAGAGCTCCGGTCGACAGAATTTGTCGCTGACTACAATGGTGCAGGTGACAAAGTTCGATACGTTAGCTTAGCTTACGTGCAGTCTTGTATCGTCTGTGTTCTGTCGACGAAGGCAAACACAGCGCCGATGCTGA